CGACACTGTCAGTCATTCAACGCTACTAGAAGATATAGAGGCCTCCTCACTCCCACAGGGACTCAAACGGTGGTCGGCTAATTACCTGACACTCGTCAGTAATTTTCAGAGACAAAACTAGCAAGCCACGTAAAATTAAACAGGGGGTACCACAGGGGGGTGTCCTGTCCCCGCTACTGTTTAATTATTACATCTCAAAGCTTACTCAGCCATCAGAGGGAGTTAATATAATCTCCTATGCATGATGACTTGTGCTTGAAAGTAAACGGTTACCTCTCCGAACCTTCTCGCTTATTCACTGTATGGAGCCTTGCTCTATTCCCTGCGAAATCCTCGGCAACCCTTTTCACCACCTGGACGAAGGAGGTCAGACTGCAACTGGGTATTCACGTCGATGACGTAACAATACCGACGGTGAATAACCCGAAAATCCTCGGAGTCACCTTCGACAGTCTGCTCTCCATCTCGGCGCATACAACCGCAATTGGCAACAAAGTACAGAGCCGCAACAATGTCCTCAAGTCGCTGGCCGGTAGCACTTGGGGCAAATATAAAGAAACGTTGTTGGCAACATACAAGGCAAATGGCCGGCCGGTTCTAAACTATGCAGCACTCGTTTGGTCGCCGGGGACTAGCACGACGCAGTGGATGAAGATACAGACCGGCCAAAATACGGCATTACGAACTGCGACAGGATGCCTCCTGATGACGCCCCAACACCACCTACATGACGAGGCCCAGACGCTCCCAGTAAAGGAGCACAACATAATGCTCTACAAGCAGTTCCTTGCTGGGAGCTACAGACGTGGCCATCCCAGCGGACAGCTGCTCGCGGAAGAGCCCTCGCCACGGCAGGTCAAGAGGCATCTTTACGAACTGACAGACGAAGTTCAGAGGTTTATCAAACAACCTGTCAACCCACCGACAGGCCCTGAACGGCATTCACAGGGAATCAGTCTCAAGTTATGTAGACTCTCGCCCTGTGAATGCCGTTCTAGGCACACAACCACCGGACGTGGACGGGACAGAACTTTGTCTGCCTCGGGAGACCCGCACTGCAATAGCCCAACTTCGCTCTGGCTATTGCAGCAGGCTCAATTCCTACTTGAGTAGAATCAACGAGGATGTGCCCAACCAATGCCCGGCATGTGGAGAGTCGCCGCATGACTCGCGGCACCTCTTCAAATGCCCTGAGAACCCCACTCAGCTAACGCACCTGTGGAAGTCGCACACTTCCTGGGCCTCCCCCTAGCTGAAATTGAGGACAACGTNGAGGATGTGCCCAACCAATGCCCGGCATGTGGAGAGTCGCCGCATGACTCGCGGCACCTCTTCAAATGCCCTGAGAACCCCACTCAGCTAACGCACCTGTGGAAGTCGCACACTTCCTGGGCCTCCCCCTAGCTGAAATTGAGGACAACGTTGATGGATGAACCGCTCCGAACGGGGCTTAGTAGCCGCTACAACAACAACAATTCCTTTTTTTTTTGGCATTGGACTTTTGTTTTAGGAATGGTCCTTCTTTGGCATTGGACTTCTGTTTTGGGAATGGGTTTCTAATTTTAATGCTAAATGGCAAGAATAAAAGATGATGGCACCGTTTTTTGACACTTTTATTTTTCTTTTTGGCACAATTTGGTACTTTTTTTCCTCAATATGGCATTTCATATCATGATTTCATATCAAAGGGAAGTTGGCAACCCTGAGCCCATACCTAATTTGACAGTTTTTTGGCACAGACGAAAAAAAAATTGTGAATTTTCTAGGACCAGCAGCAATAGGTGTTTTTGTGGAAAATAATCGGAAAATAATTTTCTTGAGCTTACCATGGCAGCGGAGGAGACGAATCCCTTCGCCGCGTTACTAAACGAGCCGGAAGGGCAAAGTGGCTTCAATCAAGAGTTGCTAGAACGCATTCTCCTCTTTACATTGCGTATAAGCGGAGTATACAGTACAAGTGGACGCGCACTCATATCCATGGCTGATACAATCGTAACCACAGATGATACATCAACAGTGAGTGAGGAGTTGTTGGCTCACGCTATATTTGAACGATTAATGCTCCAAAATCCTCAAGAACACTTGGTTGCATCCAGCACAAGCGTCGCTGATGATGACGCAGCTTTGGAAACGCGAGTAATTTGTTATCTGCACCGAGCGTTTATTACTTGCGAACAAACAAAGAATGAGTTACCTGAACAAAAGGAAGCTTGCGAAAGGATAAGAAAACTTATACTGACCAATGCGAGTACTTGTACACGTCAGCCTGAATTGTTCACAAATCAGAGCTTGTCAACTCAATGGTTGAGTGTTCTGGAACAATCTGATCCATCAGATGTGACAACACAAGAGTTTTTTGTACAAACTGTTATCAAAGTAATGGCTGAAGATGATCAACTTGAAGCGCTGGGCGCATTAAAGGCCATTTTTTACCCGATGTTGGCTGAGGTGCAAAAGCAGTTGACTAATGTCAATCTAATAACAATCAAGAAACTCACCTTTTGGACGCTAGGTTATTTCGTACACGACAAGCGGGTTCCACAGTTGGGTGAAGTGTTAATTGACTACACTACACCCAATCCAAACGCCAAGGGTGTGTAACTATACATTATATATATATGTACGTACATTTCCTCAATTAATTACATTTATTTGTATTCCTTAGGTAGTGAATATATGGACACTTTATTGGGACAGTTGCTTTGCCTCTCCATTATGCCTAGAAAATCCAATGGACCCTTTGAATTCTTCGCAGATATTAGTTTGGAGAACCAACATTCTGACCCGTCACTATGGCAACTTATGGCCATACATCAGGATGCTGTGTTTGCGCTCGTCAAGCAGTTGTTGGTCTTGAGTCCAACTACTAAAAAGAAAACTTTGCAGTGGATTGCCAATTGCTTGCATGCGAATACCTCACGTGGCCATTTATGGAGTAATATTAATTTACCATTTGAACAGGTTATTAATCAAAACGCTAGTGATTCGTTTATGATTGGTTTAACAGCTGTGCTACTACGTCTTTGCACGCCATTGTGTGAGCCCACAATGAAGGTAAGTGCACATAAATTTTTAAAGAACATTTGTGTTTAAATTTACGCATGGGGTAGTAAATTGGACTTAAAATATGCTATACCTACCGTGACCAGGTTTCTGTGCACAAAAATCGGGACATTTCTAAAGCATCATATCCGAACACACAATTTTATTTTTATAAGCTTTTATTTAACTTGGTCATCCCGCGGAAATCGCGACATGTTAGAGATTTGAAATTTTCAGCATAGTGCCAATCACGACGACAATGCAATTTAAAATATAAATGAATTCCCTATATGGTCCAGGGGTCTTGATTTAAAGGCGGTCAAAAAATAGCAAGATTTATGGCTAACAGAGCGTAATTTGCCAAGGAACGTAAAACTACTATAAAATTTTTGAAGCTGCCGGCGCGCCGCGGCGGTAGTGTAGCAAAGCTATTTGTGGCAAATTCTAGATATCAACGCAGTCTCGATATGAACCTCGTTATAGGCATCATATCAAGGAGATACAATTAGAAGACTCCAGATGTCGCCCCGCCGGAAGAAGTTAAATATTGCGCCTAAGTATATGCCATGCTACAGCGGAAATGGACGACACGCTATTTCTTTAAATAAAATTAACTGCTGCTATATGTACATATGTATGTTTATACAAAACGTAAGCAATCAACATTTTGCTTGCCAAGTCTTCTGTTCTCTTTCATTGCAAGTTGAATTATTTTAGTATCTATCGCAAGATTTTGTACATAAAACAAAATAACACATTTTAATATACAATGCTTTTATAAATGGACCAAAAATTAGAAATTAAAATAATTAAAAAAAAAATATTTTTTTAAAACCAAGCTTTTATTCAGCATGTACACAATCAAAGGAATAAAACAAGTAATTTTTAGCAAAAAAAAAAACCGACTTCAACTCTCATATAAAAAAAAAATATATAAATATCTCATGATCCGCTGATCGGATCTTAACCAGATTAGTATGGGACCACCTCTGAGACACTNAAAAAAAAAAAAAAAAAAAAAAAAAAAAAAAAAAAAAAAAAAAAAAAAAAAATCCGACGAACTGATAACCTCCTCCTTTTTTGGAAGTCGGTTAATAAAGTAGTGTAACAAAAGATTTTTTTGCATAGTTGGTTAGGTATGTATATGTATGTCTGTATGCAGATATTTAAATGCCGGTTTGCTATTCGCGCGACAAACTTTTTTAAAAACGAAGCAAATTAGTACAAATTGTTAGTAATTTTCATTAGAGTTTGAATAACTCCTTTCACTAAATGGCTTTTAGTAACTTTAACTACACCTTAACTTATTTTATTTTATTCATTTTAGTGCAGTTTTGACAAAATTTGCTTGCTAAAAAATCTTTTGTTACACTACTTTATTTTATTCCTTTGATTGTACATGCTAAATAAAAGCTTGTTTTTAAAAAATATTTTTTTTACATTATTTTATTATAATTAAAATACATAACATCTTTTAATACAGTTTTATTTAAAACAAAACATTAAAAAGGGAAAAGACATTTAGCAAGTTTTGGGTACTTTTCTATGTATAAGAAATTATTATTATTTTTTTTTAAGAAAATATTTGCAGAACGTTTATAAAAATTCGACGAATTTTAACAAATGATCAAAATTTTACACATTTTCAGTTTTTTTAGAATTGTTTTGAGTATGCAGTTTTGTAATTACTTTAGCATAATAAAGTGCTAGTTTCCAGACGCTAGAAAATCGCGTTGATTTGTCAGAATTTTTCGGTCACGCTGCACAGTGTAAAATTTGACCCATCTAGCTGCTTTTAATTCTGTAATTCGCATTCAGGCAATCGCTCGCTCTATCTTCGTTCAGGTACTCGGCTACGTCTAATAATAACGGTTTTTCCTTCTCTTTCTCTCGCGACGCTATATATAATATATAAGCATCGCGACACGTAATTTATATACACTTTACTTAAAAAAAAAACTAAACAAAAACACTCGAATCAGTGCGAACTCCGTTAAAATAGTGGGCATAAGCCCCCAAATGGGCGATATCGAACCTCTCCATACAAATAGGTTCAAACACCTGAACCCAGACGAATACTTAAGTGCACCAGCCATAAAAAACAAACGTCCAAGAGCGGAAGAGTTCCCCTTGCTAAATGAAATACGTCAAAATGATGACCACATTCCCCGCTTTTTAGTCATCACTGCCATCTCAAACTTAACTGTGCAGCAAATTGGACCGATAGCTTCCTATAATGTATTCCAAATAAAAAAAGGTATAAACACTATATCTCGCGACTACATAGATGTCACCCCTTAAAATCTGGAGAACTTCTGCTTAAAACTTCTAACAGAGTTTCGTGATAGCCAACTATGTCGACATTGTTCCAGTAAAAAAACACCCCATGCCAACCTAAATTCTATCCAGGCAAGATTCTACCTTCAAAAACATAATCGACATTTCAGAGGAAGAGCTAACATAAGAACTCGCATCTCAAAAAGTGATCCACGTAAAAAAAAAATTGAAGAAAGTTGACAGTAACTTGATACCAACAGGAGCCGCAATTGTTACATTCGATCTCATTCGGCGACCCGAATACCTCAAGCTTGGCTGGGAAAGCGTCAAAATTGAAGAGCACATTCCTAATCCCATGCGATACAACAACTGCCAGAAACTGGGCCATACGAGAATACACACAACCGCACCACCACCCACACGCCGCCGCCAACAACTCTTGGTTCCTCCTACAATCTGCACGGTATGTCAGACCAGGATATTCCGTAATGTGACATCAGTCAAGTGCAACACCTGCCTTGGCTGGTGCCACTTTAGGGCATGTTCAGGTCTGCGCACCACGCGTAACTGGACGAGGAACTTCGAGGGCCCGTATTGCGCAGCACGATGGCAAACCTCAACCGCGGCCCCACCCACCACCATCACAGGACGGCAACCACCTCAGCAGCGCACACAGCCAATGTCGACACGACCACACACACCTCTCACACCCCGCATTACCACACGTCTCCCGAACCACATGAAGCTCCTTCAATTTAACTGCAACGGGCTTCAGAGCAAGATCGAGGAGATAACCGTCTTTATGGGAAGGCATGGTATACTGATAGCTGCGGTCCAAGAGACGAAGTTGCACAGCAATTCAACATTGTTGAATTGTGCCGGGTACAACGTGCACCGTCGAGATCGCAAGCGAGATAATGGTGGTGGCTTAGCGTTCATTACGCACCACACCGTGCAGTATCGTCTTATCGAAGCAGACATCGACTGCAGGGATACCACCCTAGAATGTCATTGCATTGCTATCCGGTCAGGCGAAATTGAGCTCGACGTTTATATACCCCCTGTCACCTGCTGCCCGGCAGGATATTACCCTGACATAGGTGCGCTCCTCAGAGGTGAAAACCGAATGGTAGTAGGCGACTTTAATGCGCACCACGATCTTTGGCACTCAAGCCTGTCAAACGATCGTAGGGGAACCGATCTGGCTGAGATAGACGATTCGACATTCTGCACAATGAACGACGACGCACCCACCAGGGTTATGGGTAGCTGCTGCAGCTCGCCAGACATAACAATAGTCAGCGCTGGTCTGATAAACAGCATATCATGGCGACCTATGCTGTCCTTGGCATCAGACCATCTGCCCATAGTCATCTCGATCGATAAACCAACCGAATTTGCATCCGCGGAGCATCGAACCTCTATCAACTTCTCCAAAGCTGATTGGATAGGCTTCGCGGAATTTACTGAAAACACCTTCGCTGCTCTCCGCACACCAACCGACGTCCACCTTGGTGAACGTAAGTTCCGCTGGGCTGTCACCGCTGCTGCAGCTCGCTTCGTACCGGCAGGATGCATCACGGACCCACGTCCAAATTTCCCTGCCGAAGCGGCTGTTCTAGCCGATGAGCGTGACAGCCTTCGTCAGGCCGATCCCGGAGATCCCCGTATCAGGGATCTCAACGCGGAGATTCGGCAACTAGTGAACGTATATAAGCGGAAGAAGTGGGAAGAACCTCTGAAAACCTGTAACTTCACCTCTGGTGTGAGTAAGCTATGGTCGACCGTGAGTTCACTGTCCAATCCGACAAAGCACGACGACAGAGTCGAAACTTCTTTCGGCGACCATGCCTCGTCGGACCCGGAGCGATGCGCGAGCTACTCTAGCCGGCAGTTCATACTGCATCCTCCGGTGGACAAAACTAAGCGTCGAGTGACCAGAAGGTTGCACAAACTGCCAACAAATTGTGCACCCCTTGCTTTCACCTGCGGTGAAGTTCAGGTGGCTATCGGGAAGGCGAAAGCCTCCAAAGCTATGGGTCCCGACGGAATATGCATGCTGATGCTGAAAAATTTGGGTCCTGCCGGAGTAGCGTACCTAATGGAGGTCCTCAATTTGTCTATGGCCACTCTCATCATCCCAGACATCTGGAAGGTAGGGAGAGTGGTCCCACTACTCAAACCGGGGAAACCCGCCAACAAAGGAGATTCGTGTCGACCGATAACACTCCTTTCCCCGGTAGCGAAGACACTTGAGGCCCTGCTGCTCCCGTATTTCGCGAACCACCTGACCCCAGCGAAGCATCAGCATGGTTTCCGTAAAGTGCACGGCACAACAGCACTTAGCGCCATAAACACTGAGATAACTCGTGGCCTTAACCGTAAACGTCCCTGTGAGAGAACGATTCTAGTAGCGATATAGAGGCTAGTAGAAGATATAGACGCTTCCTCTCTCCCACATAGCCTCAAACGGTGGTCGGCAAATTATCTGAGTGGTCGACACTCGTCGGTAATGTTTAGAGACAAATCGAGCAAACTTAGAAAAATGAAACAGGGGGGTCCACAGGGGGGTGTCCTTTCCCCACTACTGTTTAACTTTTACATTTCAAAGCTCCCTCAACCACCAGAGGGAGTCTTGATTGTCTCTTACGCCGACGATTGCTCGATCATGGCGACTGGGAATTGAATTGATGGCCTGTGTTCGAAAAAAAACGGGTATCTCTCCGAACTTTCTC